CAAAAACATTAAAAATAGGACTACCGCAATTCCATTTCTGGGTATTTATTTGAAGAAAAAAAAACACTAATTCGAAAAGATCTACACACTCCTATGTTCACTGCAGCGTTATTTACAATAGCCAAGATATGGAAGCGACCTAAGTGTCCACAGATAGACAAATAAAGAAGAGGTGGTACATATACAGTGGAATATTATTCAGCCGTAAAAGTAATGAAATCTTACCATTTGTGACAACATGGATGGACCTAGAGGGCATTATGCTAAGTGAAACAAGTCAGAGGAAAACAATACTGTAAAATCTCACTTGTATACTCTAAAACAACAACACACAAACAAAAAACCAAGCTCATGGAGAATGGATTGATGGATGCCAGAGACAGGGATGGCGGGGGGCGTGATCCCTGAAAACATACAAACATCTAGTTATAAAATAACTATGTCCTGGGGATGTGATGTACAGCATGGTGACTATGGTTAACGATACTGTACCGCTTACTTGAAAGTTGCTAAGAGAACAGGTCTTAAAAGTTCTCATCACGAGAGAAACCAACTTGTAACTAGGTGCAATCATGGATGTTAACTAGACTTATCATGATCGTCATCTGGCAGTGTAACAAATATCAAATCATCATGCTGTGCGCCTGAAACTGATAGAATGTTATATGTCAATTATATCTCAATGAAAAATATTACTAACTTGTGTGCACATTTTATTTGGATCCTATACATTTATTGATAGAAAAATATGCGTATGACATAAAATTAAATTTAAAAACAGCTTATAAAACTATCAATAATATGGTTTCATTTTTGTAAAAATAATGTAAAGGGAACTTCCTTAGAGGTTACATATACACCAAAATGTACAATAACCAGTTAATGTAGCAAAGTCTAAGATTTTTCTAGTGGTGGAATTAAAGAACATTTTAATTACTATTTCTAATTTTCCTACCAAGAAGACTAAACAAGCAGCGGTTTAAGCAAATGAAACGGGAGCCGGAGCCGCCTGGGTGGCCGACGCCGGATCTCAAAAGCTGCCACCAGGTGAGCAGCGCCAGGGGAGCAAACGGGGGCGGGGCAGTGCCCTGGGGATTCTGTCCCTCTGCTGGGTGGACATCTCAAGGGCCAGGGGTGCAGCGTCCTGGGCCTCCAGGTCCCGCCTTGCGGTGCAGAGCTGCGAGGGGCCTTGCCGCGGGCACAGACGCTCCCCCCAGGAGCCTCTGTCCCCCTTGCCCACAAGCGCCGGCGGGAGGGACAGCGGGCGCTGTGCTTCTCACAGATGCGGGCGGCTC